TTGAAGGATCTTTGCTGCTGAGAGAAAGAAAAAAAAATCACTTGATTCCAAGCGAGACATACATTTTTAAAGGTTTTGATAATTCTCTAAGTGTTCCAATATTTATGAACGCGAGCGTATAGGTGTAGCCTATGTAGACTGTATAGAATTGCGTGATGTCCCGCGGAGTCTCAAGATTCTAATGCCGGAGCTGTACATTAACCTTTTCAGGACTATGAACCCACATATGAGTTTCAGACGAAACGCTCACTATAGATTACAGACTAAAGATTTAATACACATATGTATGTATGTACGTGCATACAGTCGATAATACTATATACTATTGAATGTCTTCCGACATTTTTCATCATTTTCATATTTAAAAATTCGACTGATACATAATATTTGTTGAAAATGTATTTTATCTCGATTGGAAGACACTTTCTTCAATCTTAAGGAAGACTAATAAATAACGTACTGCTTTTCTTTTTTTTTTTTTTTAAATACAAGTTTAAAAATTATGCACTCTCTTCGCGTGAAAGCCGAGTTTCTAGTCCACAGAGATCGATATTCTTCCACCTCTTTCCCAGACGAAATCGATTCGATATTCGCAACATTCGCGTTTAACGCGATAACATTTACACGAATGCACAACATTTACCACGCAAAGGGCAGGGACCGTCGTTTCGAAGAAGTTTCGCTCGAAGGAGAAGAAACGTTAATCTTCCTTCGGTCTTGCAATCAACAAAGTTTCTAACTACAGTGTTCCGCGGCACTTTATTCCAACCCTCCCAGTTGGAAACAATATCCACTGACAATATCCCTGTCCCCTCCCACGAACGAAACAACAACGAACCGATACTGGCGATGACATAGCCAATTACCGACAGCTCGTTGCCAGTGTCGCGTCGACTCGCGTAAAAAAAAAAAAAAGAAAAAAAGACAAAAGAAGAGAACGATCTCGCGTCTGTAATTGACGCGAGAGAGACGTCCCTTATTCCCGTCACGCGCCGCCGGGACCCGCGCCGATAAAATGCTAATCGACGTCCAATTCAATCTCCGCCGGTCGGAACCACCGTCCAAAAGACGATACACCCCCATCTATGAATACTCGTCAAGCAAAACTCGTCCGCCGGTTGCATTAAGCAGTCCGGCAACGGACTCGCCGCTTTGTCAAATTGCTTCGCGAAAATTTGCTTCGTCCCTCGGCCACAAGTTCCTCGGATAGTTTTCCTTCCGTCGCGGCGGCGTCGACGAACGAGAAACGAAACTTCGATAATGAGATCGGATCGCCGATCCGAGAGGGAGAGGGGGGGAGAGCCGAGCGTTTTATTATAGCCAGCGATCAAAGAGGGCTGCTTCGATAAATACAGGGTGTTCGTGCAGTGTCGGGAAAAACACAAGTCGAAAATAGAGAATGAAATTTTTTTCGTTCGAAGCTTTAATTTTCGAATAAATCGATTTTTAATATTCTCCGAGTGCACCTAACCGACGGCGTACATGAACGAATTTTGATTTCACAGATGGTACATCATTTACAAACAGCATTAATATAGTATAATAAGTTTATTAGTTATTAACACTTTGTTCAGAAATGATTCTCGACTTATTTTTTTTCCATGTAGAATCACCTTCACTTCGCTCGTACTATTGACGCAGGGACACCCTGTATACAGGATGAATAGAGAGAAGAGTTTGTAACTTCTAAGGGTAGATAGTACTCGCCAGAACGTGAGAGAAAGTTCTAATAAACATGGATCGGAAAATTGGTAGTTTCAAAGTTATGAACTTATATATATATATATAATGTGTTTTTTATTGTAGTATAAATCTTGTAGAATTTGTAGTTTAGAGATTCGTAGGCTGTGACTGTAGATCACAGCGTAGCTAAGAATAGTAGCTCTCTTTATCGTCCCATCGGTCCATTAAAGGTACCATTTCCAAGCATCGTTTCCAAATTCTTCACTAAAAGAGGCCTCCCGATATCAAGCATTAAAGGAGACATTCGTCACGTAAAGTAGCTCCGAACAACGACTTATGTTTAGAATTTCAAGATAACGCCAAGTTGGAAACAAGACATAAACAGTCGTAACGCTTCAACAACGCCATTTAGAATGTCTACTAGGAAAGCATTTTCTGGATCCTCTTGCACAATGATTTACCAACTAAATGGCGTTACAATAAATCGACAAGTTGCCGTTTTGTATTATAACTTTGCAACTTTATAATCAAACGATTTAATTTTTTTGACCAGACCAAATATGACAGTTGAGAGCAGAGACCGAATCGGTATAACGGATAAAATAGCGGTATTTTTAGATTACTATTTTTAGATTACGTTTGATGAAACCGAAATGGTGCGAATACCGGTATAATGCTATCAAAACGATGTTGGGTCGGTAGATGTATTTCGGTATAATACCGGTAAATAAAATATTAATATATTAGAAAAGGAAAAGGAGACAATGATTAAATGTTTTCATAAAGCTGCCGAT